GTAAGACCCAATGATTTGATCGAACCTTGGCCTATTCCGCTGAGGGTAGTTACCTCAAATTTATTTACTTCATATTTATCTACATTTGCGATTTTTAGTAGAGACACGTCTGCTCCTGTATCTACTAATAGAGTTAGTAATTTATTAGTGGTATTATTAAAAATTAACAAACACGCCCAGGTTAAGGTTTAAGCTATATATTGTGTTATGTTTTAATCTCTCAGAGGCTGGTTCAGGTTTTCCGAACCAATATTGTTTTGGTTAGTATAATTATTATTACTAGTTATTCTAACATTATGTTGGATCCTACGGTTATTTCCGCGTCCTCGTTGATTTCCATATTGGTTATAGTTATTGTTTTGTCTCTGCCTATTGTAATTATTATTTCGGTAGTATCCTCTACCTCTAAAATTTCCATTCACGCGATTGTTTTCGCGATAATTATTTATATTTTGACGCTGTGTAAATAGAACAGTGTCTGTCCGGCCAGTAGCATCCGTGCAGCTTTCTACAAATTTTTGTACCGCATCGTTCAAATTATTAAATTGGCCTGACTTCATAATTAGTCTGACTTCAGGAAGTGTACAATTTTTAACCATTGCATCTACAGATGCCTTAGTTGAATATTGTATAGCTATTTTTGGTGGTATCCCATCCGAAATGTAAGCACCTTGAATTGCTTTAGTTAATTGCTCAACTTCTTTAGTATATTGGTTGGCAGTTTTGTTCTTCTGTTGGAGATTCATTAATTTAGCAGTTAAGACTGCAACCGATTCTCCTTTGATATTTGTTTTTAAAGTATCTATTATGGCTAATATCGAGTTTTCGGTGGTTATTATTTGCCTAGCTGTACCTTTTAATTTAGTTTTTATTAAAGTAACTGCCAATCTTTCATGTTCTCCTTTTAATTCATCGACCATTTCAATACCGTCAAGGAAACTTTGTAGATTGGATGCAGTTCCGTCATACTCAGGAATGAGTCGTGACGCTGTACTAATGAATTGGTCAGCTGATTGTGCCATATTTGTAACGTGGTATTTTTCTATTTCTGATAAATTTTCAATTTCGCTATTTGCTTCTTCAATTGGTATTAATATGTCACTATCTTGTGTGACAAACAGTCTATGTACATCGAGCTGTATTGATTTATCTAAGTTATGTGGAATTTTTTCCTCTATTTTATATTTAGAATAAATGTTTATTAACCTGTCTCTGCTTTCCCAAAATACAGAGTTAACAATTCTTTTATGGCTTTCTGTTAATCTATGGCTATAGTTTATATATATAGTTCTGATATTCTCTAAACTATTAACTAAGGTCAATAAGTGTTTTCTCAGAGTTTCTGATCTGATAAACGTATTTTTGTTTATACACTTGTATGCCTTGTTGAAATTTTCTTTTTCTGTTTTTAGAAATTCTTCGATTTGAGACCATTTATCCATAAGAGTTAAAGAATTTTGTTGACTGATTTAATGAAAAATTTTTCTAACTATTTCATTCGCATAGTTAATTATTTTATTGTGTTTCTTCAAATGATTGTCTAATTTCTGTTTAGTTTTGCAGCTTTTGCCACATACAAAGCAGTTAAAAGTTTTCATTTTGAGGAATCTAAGTAATATTTAACTTTTGAATATCTAACTATTTATATTTTTTCTAATACAGTAGCGATATTTGCAGTTTTTACGAAATTTTTCTTAAGGGATCTACGATGAGCCTTATACAATTTCAGAGCTAGGTTTGCAGTTAGCAAAATAATTATTATTATGAAAAATTTCGTTGGGTCGTAAGGTTCTCTTCTATCCACGGTTGCCACTTGAAAATTTTTTTCTGTACCAAAATTGGTTTAAAAAGGTACCATTTCTATAAAAAAAGGTCCAAAATTTTTCCTTTGTCTTTTTATAAGAAAATACAATTTATATAAAATGTACAAAAAGTATAAAACAATACAATATCCACAATAAAGTTGGGACGCCGAAAATGTACCATTTTTTGAAACATGAGTACCAGAGTACCAAACGGAAAAAAAGTACCAATTTTGGTACTAAAGTACCATAAGTGGCAACCGTGCTTCTATCAACTTCTATTTCGTTAACTACATTAGCTACAGGTTTATTTATTTTTGATTGTGGGTTCCCCATCATAAAAATAAGAAACAGTAGAGAAAATAAGAAACAGTAGAGGAAAAATTATTATTTTTTTTTTTTAAACAACAAGAAAAATCAAAGATATACCGTAGAGATTAAACAAAAAAATTTTCAAAATATTTAAAAACATCGAACACATTCATTTCAAAATATGTAATATTTATCATAATTTTAATTTAAAACATTTGTTTTATTTATTTTTTTTTCAATTAAAGCAATCAAATTAAAACAATTATATATATTTTACATTATCCCTACCTAAGGGTTTTGGCAACGGCTTAACGCCATTTTGTACCTCTATTGGATTTGCTCTTTATTATGTTAGAGCACACACAAGCTCCATTACAATTATTTAGAAATTAATAAAAATATTATACTTATTTCTCCTGTACGGCTCTTCGCTTTTGTAACTGTCTGTTGTGCCTGGCTTGTATAATGTCGTCAATTTGTTTCCATATTGTACATGCAATCTCCCACGATGGTGGTGGTTCTGTATATAATGAGGCCTTCAGAGCTGCTATTTTTTTTCGTTCTTGCATTAGTACGCCACCCCTCTTTCAGGGTTTTGGTACTGCCGGAATAGTTGTGTTTTATATATATATTTTTTTTTAAAAAAATAATCACATTAATCCTGCACCAAAGTCACGGTCGCAATGTAATAGTTGCAAAATACTGATTGTTAAGATCGCCGATATTTATTGGCGTTTCTCATTTCATTAAAGATTGCTATTTTAAAATAAAATAAAAGCAACGATTTTATTGTTAGAGAACTTGGTGCGCTTCTTATGAGGGCATTTCTAATTCTGATTTTTATTTAGTTCTTTACTTTCAACTTAACCTAGGTACATAACGACGCAGCGTATGTACTTTCTTATTTACTAAATATTTTATAATTATATATGTATTTTTATTTATGAACAAAACGGCGCAGCGTAAGTACTTTATTATTTAATAATTTATTGCTAAGTAAGCGTCTTCGATTCCACTTGCATCGAGTACGCTTACTGTTGATGTTGTTGTATATGCGGTCAATGCCTGGCAAGCATATGGTTATATCGAAGGCAAAGTGCCGCCGATATGTGTGGTGTCAAATTCCTTGTGTGGAATTGTGCATTTGTTTGTAAACAATGCAATGCGCTTGGAAATAATTAGTGTATTTTTATATACACTGCGCATTTAAATATAGAACCACTTATTATTATATTAATTGTATGCATTGCCAATATAACTAACGCATATACATTACAATTGTTCATTTGCAACCCAATGTTGACTTTCGTCAACCTTGTACATTACATACGGTACTCTTAAAATATAAAAAGAACGTTACTTTTTATACAGTTTTTTAGCTCACCTATTGAACTGGCTTCTCGATTGAGCTCTCTTGCATTGCAATTCCCGCATGAACAGCACGCGTGTTTGAGTCTTAAAATCACATGTTCTTAGGGATTTTTTAAATTATATTTTTTAAATTTAGTATAAATTTAACTTAAAATAAATACAAAAATTATTGTATTTTTTATTTTTCATAAATTTAACATAAAATATTTACAAAAACTATTGTATTTTCCACTCACCAATAACTTTTTGTGTCATTCATTTTATATAAAAAAGTTTTTTATAAAATAATCTGCAGGTATTTTTGTATTTAAAGGTATTTTTCAACCACAAATTTATTTAAATTTTTTTTAATTGTGATTTGTTTACTGATTTAGGCAGTGATGCTAAGTTATTCTTAAGCAACTAGAAGTTGTTCTATTAGATCATTCATGTCACTTTATATACTTTAGAATAACTAGAGGTTGTTCTATTAGATCATTAATGTCACTTTATATACTTTATGATTTTGTAATATCACTTGTGCAAAATAAGATTTGGTCTCACTGTAAACATAGAATAACAGAAACTTGCTGTAAAACTTCTATTGACTGAACAAAGACTGAAATGCATTGTTATTGAGAGTAACTTTTTTTTTATCGAAGTGCGTGATTCGTGTATGAGCTGCTTTTGAGTGTTTGGAATATATATTAAATATCGATAATGAGAGTTATACCTGGCACAAAAACAGTGTCAAAGTACTACAATTCAAATTAAGGAGTGGTTGTGGTCGGTAATTTTTAGCAACGCTTGGTTTTTGTTTTTTTTTTAGATACATTGAAGTTTTTTTTTTCGATATATTGAAGTTTTTTTTTAATTATTTCCTTTGTCTTCTATCATGTGAGTATTAACATTGAAAATTTCTGCTTACTAAAATTGGTGTACATAGTAATGACTCACCAGAGATTCATAAAAAAGTGTATTACTGCAAATATATGTGTATCTTGTAACTTTATTAAAATTGTGAAAATATTATGTCCATATATGGAGTTAATAGATTGTATTGAACTCAAGTTTTTTAATGTACATTACTTAAAGCACAGATACAATATATCATTTTAGTTTAGTATTTAACATTGATTTTCCGAGTGTTCTACAGTTTACAGTACGATTTAAATAAGTAGAATAAGAATTTTAATTCTAATGAAATTTATTTCATACATAATATTTTTAAATTTATATTAAAGAAAATGTCGTCACGGAAAACTGCTGGGAGACGGGCTACCACAAAGAAGCGAGCTCAAAGAGCGACTTCGAATGTCTTCGCAATGTTTGATCAAGCTCAGATCGCTGAGTTCAAAGAAGCTTTTAATATGATTGATCAAAATAGAGATGGGTTTGTTGAAAAAGAAGACTTACACGACATGCTAGCCTCATTAGGAAAAAATCCTACCGATGATTACTTGGAAGCAATGATGAAGGAAGCTCCTGGTCCAATCAATTTTACAATGTTTTTAACATTATTTGGAGAACGGTTGCAAGGTACAGATCCTGAAGATGTTATCAAAAATGCTTTTGGATGTTTTGATGAAGATAACATGGGTGTCTTGCCAGAGGATAAATTACGTGAACTACTTACCACTATGGGTGATCGCTTTTCGGATGAAGATGTAATTTTTTTTATTAACCCATTTATTTTTCAGAATAATTATTGTTTTGTTATAGGTTGATGAGATGTATCGAGAAGCACCAATTAAAAACGGTTTATTTGATTATATAGAATTTACACGTATTCTGAAGCATGGTGCGAAAGATAAAGATGAGCAGTGAAATGTGTCATTACATATTTGCAAGCGCATAATGTCTAAAATCTTTATTTATAATAAATCGATGTATATATGAACATAAATGTTCATCCTATTCCAAAACCCTTTAGTACCTAATTTCAAAATCTTTAATTACCTTGTTTCATTTTATAACTTCTAAAAATAAATAAATCTAACCAAACTAGAATATGTATGTGCATTTTTGTTTTTATACGGAATCTTACATTAAGCGAATGTTTTGACTTCTACACATGGTTGCAAGAACGGTCGGGTCTACGTTCCGGAGCCACTCGTCACCTACGACGACCAAGTACCACCAAGGGACTCCACAAGCAGGTCCAGACGGGGGGTACAACAACTCGTACACATCATAAATTAAATTCCAGTATAACTATATAAGGTTTTTTAATTATTTTATAAAATAATTATATAAATCTAAGGCCGTGGCAACTTTTCCACTTTCTCTATATAGTAGAAGAACCCACAATTTCAACCTTTTCGACTCACCGCTTAGATGTTGCAACCACCAAAAGGCAATCTTGAATGGATGCTCATTTTGCCTAGCGAGAATAGTGGCGTTAATTATGGGATATCACTTGAGACATTATTGAGTTTGTGACACACTGCATATCCTGGAAACAAAACAGTTCAATTTTGATATAGCACAAACTAGTAAAACTGCCATTTACAAGAATTTAATAATTTCCTCGTATACGCAGTACTTTCGCTTTTCTGGAAAAATTTGGTAAATATTTTTAAAGTTTATATAAGACATTAACCACTACATTATATATATAATACATAAATATACTTAGCAACTACAAAAAAAAAACAAGCACTTAGTTATTTGCGATTTTATTAAGTATAAAAATGAAAAAATTTATGCGTTTTACAAATATTCATCCTTTTATGGATTTATAATATATTAGGAATGAGCACACGCAATTTCACTTCGAAAAGAAAAACGCCTTTATGCTTTCTTTTCTTCTTCAATTGCTTCCTTACTTGGTAATTGATTTTTCTCACACGTTTCAGTATGTTTCAATTTAGATGGATCAAAATTTTCAATTCCAGTTATGAAATTAATCTTCTCCTTTTCTTGTGCAATAACTGGAAAAAATACAATTTATATACACAACACAAAATTTATATTATATATGTTTAATAATCAATTACAAATGCAGATCACATATATATAAAGATAGATACACCGCATTTGCAAATACTTCAGTAGTAGCTTACCTTCACTATTTGGCAACGGATTTTTTTCATTGGTTTCAGTGTGTTTCAATTTAGACTGATTAAATGATGCAATACCAGCACACAAGGATTGTTGGGTTTTTTCTGCGGCGACATCTAATCATATTCATTTTTATCAAACTTTCTTCATTATTCAATATTTAGTTTTCTTACCTTGAGCCGAAGGCAATATAATTTTTTCCTGAGTACTTGCATTTTTTAATTTTTCCGTGTTAAAACCCTCGAGTTGACTTTTTAGATTTTCAGCTACTTTAGGAAGATCTTTTAGTGCAGGAGATGCCATTGTTGCTGTATATATATATTTTATACTTTTTCCCCCAAGGACTACAAATAAACAGCATTTACTTAAATGAATATTGAAACGGGATTATAATATAACACAAATAAATATTAAGAAAATACATTTAAATTTAGGTTATCTGGTTTAATTTTGCAATTTGCATTAGCTCAGACAAAATACTTCTACAAAATAGTATGAATCACAGTTGAATCATCAGTTAATAAAGGCCTATACCGGTAGAATTACCAATTCAATTTAATCAAAATATGCAAACTCTTGTTAGAAACGTAATACAAAATGTCGTTTAATTCCCCTTATGCTGCAGAAAATGCAATTCCACTGAATGTGCAGATATGCTTAGTAGAATGGAGAAAATTGTTAACGTCGAAATCAGTGAACTGCTGAAGAACTAATTTATGTATGTACTTACATATTTGTTTTCAGACTATATTACTTTGCATATTAATTATAATATATGCACCTCTT